CATAGCCGTGTTTTTCCAGTCCAGTGAAGCAAGAACGGGCATGCAGATTTAAGATGTTTCTGACTCTCCAGAGGAGTTTGTCACTGGCTAAATGCTCTTACCATTGTACTGCTCCCAGACCTGAGAGGTCTCAGAACAAAAGGCAGCATTCAGTTCCCCATGTTTATGTATGGATGTTTGTTATGGTCTCTCTAGCTGGATATACAATGGAAATCATAGATGTGGATTGCTGAAAGAAATGAGGCAGTAAACTCTTTGAAGTCCTGCACCTATTTCCATTTACAAGCAATGGGCTCACCTGTTCTGTGTGCCATGCCATCGTGCCATCAGGCTGGCCTTACGTCAAGAATTATTACCCCTTTTATAAAAGGGCCTATAAAATTGGACAGGATGAAAGTAATGAAATTCTGTATAGTTGTCATTGTTTTCCCTCATGTATTTCTTCGAAGATCTACGAAATTAGAGAGAACTAATGCAGTTCATAGATTTAGTAAATCATACTTTAGATTTCCATAGCAGAAAACTAAACTTCTATGGGATGTCTGAAAGCTACATGCTTTAATACTGCAAAATTGCTCGTTAAGAAATGGGAAATTTCAGAGAATGTGACATTCTTGGCTTTGCCTCAGCAGATTGCAGACAAGCTGGACAATTCTGTTTTTCAAATAATAAATGATATTTATACTTAGTCTAACGTTTTCCTGGCATGCCATTTATGTACATAATGCTTAAAACGGGAGATTTAAACACAAGACAAGACTGAGCTTTGAGCCTGTAAATTCTCTTTATAAAGCAAAAAGAAAACACTTGGAATTCAGCAGCATGTGTTCAATGTAGCAAACATTTGGTGAAAGATCAGATCTTTGAGTGTCACATCAAATTTTTTATATATGCAATTCTATAGGGACAAGTTTTTTCTTCTTCTTGGCTATTCATCCAGCTGCACACGCCACTGAAATTATTAGATTTACACTGATCTAAAGCAATCAGATAGATTTGCTGAAGCTCTGGAGGTTTTTACTCAATCAACCAATAAGATCTTGAAAGATTTTTGATAGCTGAGGGAAGCTCTTTTCTAGACATTTTCTCCTTGGGTCTCCAAAGTCATGGCTCACTCATAGTGGATCTTCAGAGCAATACAAGGTTTTATGTGCATATCTGTGCTATTAGCTTGTATTAATTTATTGTCACATTTATTTCAAAACTGGTAAATAGTTCTAGAAAAACAAAACAGAAAAACTGAATAATGTATATAGATCAAAAATTCTGTTCTATAAACTAGAAAGCTCTCCTGTGCAAGCGCTTTACAGGAATAAAGGTACAATATTGGGATGATATTTATCTTTTGGAAATTGGAGCCTGCTTATCTCCTTAAACTTGCAGTGGTTTAATATGGGTATCTTAAAATCAAGAAGGAACTCATGCAAGCAGGAAATCGAGCTCATTTAGAAAAGCGTAAATCTCATTTGAATTGATACAATACCTTTTTGTTTGTTTGTTTTTGAGATAACATTGTCATACATAAATAGGCATGTTATATTTAAATTCATTAGCAGGTACAGAGAAGGATCAGTGTACAGTAGCACACGTTTTGGCGTGGGGCATGTTGCCTTTGCTTTGACAAGCAAGTTAAATGTTCTTCACCTGGATATCTAAACTGGGCTGAGAAATTTACTCCCAGAGTCAAACGTTCCAGGCTCTGCAAGACTCCTCTGTGTAAAATCTCAGTATGGGTTTGGTCTTGCCATGAGTTATTGGAATGTATCAGCATATCCTCGTGCTGGAAGAGGGCAGTTATGAGAGTGTTTTAAAAGGAGTTGCTCCCTCATTCTTGCTCAGAGAACACAGATTTTCCTTGTTGTACTAAAAAGTATTCTGTTTAAATCCTGAAGTCATTTCTTACGGTGAGAGAAAATATATTGGAATAAATACACCCATGAATTATGTCCATCAACAGCAAAAGGCAAAATCAAAGAGTGTCCCAGTGGCTCTTTAGAATGCAGAAGTGTTTGTTCATTTCACTGATATCATTTCTCTTCGTAATAATGAGCACATAGTCAAGAGAAGGAGAAAGTTTTATAGAGAATGTTGTTTATATAAGGCCTGTACTTATATATTATACAGTGTGGACATTTATTATATGTGACTAACATTTTTTAAATGAGCAAAAGGGATGTTTTTTCTTGGATTTGTCATTGAAAAGATAATTTGACAAGATTAACACACTCATTCTCATTCCCATCAGAAATGGTAATTGACAACCTCCAGGAAGGAACAGTATGTTAATCTGCCTTCAAATAAGTCCAGTTTACAGTTATTTAGTTCATTTCTCCCACACAGGGGAATATTCACTTACGCCTTGTTTTCTCAGATCTCCTTCTTACTGAAGTACAGCCAACATAAACTATTTTAGAACTGGCTCAGGAAAAAGTAACTTTTCGTCTGAGCTGAACTCCCTCAAACGATAGATTTTGAATTTCAAGACCAGTGCTATTGCCAGTCATTTCTTAAACAGTTTGGAGAACCTCATCTCAACAGTAGTAAACAGGTCACAAACGTACCGTATAAACCCTAAAGAATTACAGAGCGTTTTAGAGTTCTGGCATTTGGTGTTCCACTGAATGGCTGCACAGAATAGTTGTTCATGCAGCGCATTCATCTGGGGTTTGACAAAGCAACTCACGTAAAATATGGACTGTTCCACACTTCACACAAGACTTGGCCCAAACCAAACATTTTTCAAATGTTGTCAAAAAAAAAAAAAAAGAAAAAAAAAAAAAAAAAAAGCCATAGGGAGGGAAAAAAAATGCTGTTTTCTTTCTTGCAATGAACTTACACATTCTAGACAGCCATAATGGTTCCAGTACAAAATAATCGGTCTTCATTTTTCTTTATTCCTCCCTTCTCTTTTATGACTGCTCAAAAATACACAGCTGTCTCTCGACTTGCTTGGAACCACTGGTGGACTTGCACTTCATAGTGAACTGTTCCCTCATTTCTTGCAGCATAGGAAGCTCTGCTCGTGCCTTCTCTCTGCAAATATAGACTGCAGAGGTCGTCCTTTGTAAACGCTTTGTCACGTGGCAAAAGCATTTTAAAAATACTAAAGAGTGGAATCAGATTTTATCTATCCACCCTTTAGCATCAGAAACAGAGAAGTACAGACGGAAAAAAAAAATTGATGCCTTAAATGTCAGCTTACAAGAGGATTAGAATTGATGGCTTTTAACTATGCATTCAGAGAAGCAGTTAGTTGCCCAGACTTTTCTATGGTTCTAATTACGGATTAGAAGTTCCATGTTTTGAGACTGTATTCCTGGCTGCAAAGTATTGGTTTGCTGTGACTATTCTCTGAGGATAAACTCAGTTTTAATACGTGTTTAAAAACCTCTGTTTCACAACCCTCAATGAAAGATTCCTCTTATATCTCACCTCCTCTGTGTACATGCTATTACTAGGAGTTCCACCAGCTCCCCAGTTGCTGGGTCCAGTTTTGCAAATTAAAGAGTGAAATCCTTTTTAAAATTAAAACAAAACAAAACAAAAACCCAAAAAAAAGCCAACAACACAGAAATGGTGGTAGGGGAAACCCCATTACAGCTCTAACTGCACGACAGGAGGTCTATAATCACTGCTGGACAAAGGAGCTGTTTTCCTCATTGCATTGATTGTAGATTCTGTATTTCGGGTTTGTAATCCAGTCCTAAAACTGAATTGCTGCTCAGTATTTAAAACAAGCAGAGCAATCTTTCAGCAGATTTAGACTCTCTTCGTTTTGTCCAAAATGAATTATGCAGCTTCTGATAATCAGCTTAATGATCTGACTGGTCAAAATTGCTAATGCTTCATAAGACACCAGGTGCTCTCAAGGAAGTTAATGAAAAAAGTGCCTTCTCTGGGTGGGAAAACGGACATTCTTGCAGGGCATAATATGGTTAACATGTATTTTCAAATCAAGCCTTTTTTTTTCTCTCTTTATAAAGCAGTTCCTGAAGACAGAGATTTCTTTTTGCTTTATTTTTTTTTCAATTTATGCATAACAAATGAATAGAAGATTAAAGATAGTTTGCCTGAAGTTCCTACTCATTCAGAATACCTGTTAATTAGAACACAGCTTTTCAGCTTGAGCATCTCTCAGAAGAGCTCCATCTGCTGACACTGTGGGCTCACTTAAGGAGATGCTTACAAGGTAATTTCCCTGCATAGCTGAGGAAAATGCATTGTAATGTGACACGAGGAATAAGAGACAATTTCAGAATGGGAGAATTTACAAAAAATTAAACACGTTTCACTTCTCCCTGCCCATTTTTTGAGACAACAGTTCTTGCTTGAACATTAAAAAAAAAACGTCCATGAGGAATGGTATTTAACTAGTACAACTGGACTGTTGCCATGCAGAATGGAGGAAGCCAGTGTTAATGTATTAAACAAATGCAACTAGGAGTGTAATAATAAAATCAGCAGAGCCATCCTTGGGGCTCTCATGTAAGTATTTTTTGACAGCAGGCATCATTACAAAATAATGTTTCTGATTACTACTGATGCTTCAGCTCACCAGATAGCGAGTGCCATCCTAAGGAGCACTGCTGCTGCAGGTGCAAATTTATTCAAATGAGATGCTTTAAACTAGAAACGTTTGGACATCATCAGAGCTGAAGAGAGGTCAGACTCAAACTAGCAAGACAAAAAGCAGACTGCAGCTGTCAAAGGTTCTTTTTATTCCCCCTTCTCTTCTCCCCCCTTCTCTTCTCCCCCCTTTTCCTTCCCTTGCACAGAGACTGTTGAATTGCTTAAGGCATCAGAAGATACTCCTTCTGTGCACCTACAAACTTAGTACACAGAAGTAATTGGGCAGGTATATTCAAACAAGCTCATTTACTGTTCTATGAAATCTTCTAGAACCTCATTGAAATTAAAAAAAAAAAAAAGCAAAAAATAGATGCTACTGAATTTGGTGAAGGTATTATTCTGATGTGTGTGCTGTTTGTTTTTTCTGTTAGAAGACAACAATGGATGGTCTCTGCAGTTCGACAAACATTACGCAAAGAGGAAATACAACAAAGTGAAATCCCTGTACGCGTTTCAGACCAGGACATCGGAGTGCTGTAAGTTGTTATTATTGACAACTCCTGGAAATAAATATTTAGCAAATGGGCTTATCAGAAATAGAAATGTAGCACAGTTTCATTTGTAGTGAAATAAAATTAATGTCTCAGACTAACAAATGTATGTAAGCTAATTTCAGTTGCAATAGGGTGACTGGTTTTCTGTTAGAGTGCCAAACGTTTGCCAGTTAGGAGGGCAATGTAAATGTTTCATTGAATACATGAATACAGCTGAAAAGATCATGAAATGCATATTTTTCAGAGTGAAATGAAGACAACATTCCTTCAAATTCACTTTATCACTCAACAAATATTTATTGAACCCTACTCTCTGTTACACCTACAGTCATTTGTCCATTCATACAGAAGTGGTCTAGTTTGAGCACTGAGATTAATCACAGAGATGGAACTTTGCTCGTTCTGATAGATGTAAAAGAATCAAATGATCTAAAAAGTCAGAAAAATTTGAAAAAATATAGCATGCCATCTTGTATCAAGCCTAAAGCTCTATTGTAAAAGCTCTTTCTGTGTGGCTGGGAGTTGAAGTATTTTTTTAATGTCCCTTTACATTTTTTATTAGGGTATTCCGAGGTCTATATAAATGATGTAAAAAAGGAGTATTCCTTCATTTAAACTCCATTTGACACAGGCCGTTAGATCCATCTTTGAGCTTCACTGTTCTTTTACACTGTATTTCTTTCCTCCGCATCCCATCGCAACGCAAACCCAATCTTCCACCACGTTCATGCCTTCCTGCAGTGGCTGGTGCTGTACCAGCAGAATGTACGTGCCAAGGGCTGGAGGTCTCCTGCGATGCTGCCCAACTGCGTGCCATCCCTTTGGTCCCTTCAAACATCACCATGATGTGAGTAGAGCATGATAGGGGTCTTGTGCTATGCTCAGGCTTGACAATCAGTTCTACAGCCATTTCAGAACTACGGCTGTGTGATTAGAACCAGTTGGCTCAGCTGGTGTTTTTGAAAGCATAGGGACTCTCTGTTAACAAGTCCACTAAGGTTTGAAGTACAGATTTTCACTGCATACCACAGGAGAAAAGGAACTGAAAAACTTTAAAGTGGTCATTCCGTATTTGTAACAGTGACTTGTGCTAGCAAAAAAATAATAATAATCAGAAAATCTAAAGAAATTTAAAAAATAAATGTTTCGTTTAGGACTTTTTCACTGTTTCATTGTTATACGATCCTGGCAATATTCCCCCTCTATATTCTTGCCAATAACCTTGATTCTAGTAAAACTACCTACTTGAGCAAATAGCTCTCATTCAGTGCCTCTGAACAGGCTGTTATTTAGCAGGATTTAATCTGAGGTGAGTCATCATACAGATAAATAGGTGTAATACTCACTTCTGGAGGAGTGGCTGGTATTGCTCTTTGTTTGCCAGCACTTCTATGAGAGGCCACTTTCTGTATGGTGAAGAGCCGTATCAAATGTCCCAAGGATCTGTCCTGAAAGATCAAAGGTACAGACCTCTGTTGAGTTTCTGTTTGCATCTGGATGGGATTCTTGTTGGTTCCCATTCAGTAGTTCAAATTCAGGTTAGTGCAGAATGTCATATGTATTTAATATGTATTTAAACCAGCTGCTGGCTCAGAGACAGCAGAGGCTTCAAAAATAAAGGTGCAGCTATGACTTGAGAAAAAAGCAGTGAGTCAGGGAAGCTGACTAGGCTTCAACCATGTCCTAAATGGTTTTTGTTCTAGTCAGAACACCTGAGTCAGTGCCCAGTGCAGACAGGGACGTAGGGAAACACAAATAGGGAAATAAGCTGTATATGCATTTGAAGTTTGAAATAAATCTGTGTTTTTACTTTATACTCAAATATTTTCACTTCTTGGATTTAACTAGTACTTTGTCTTCTTCCTCAAGAACATTGAAGAGTATTCTTAGATGATAAAGCATTGGGCAGTATGTGTATTATATGTATTAGCATATTAGTATATTAGTATATTAGCAGTATGAAAGATGCTCTTATAGAGTAAAAAATCATTGCAGCACTGTTAGAAGCTGGTGAGGGCTGCTAGTCTCAGTGAGCCCAACCCATTGCAATTGTTGGCTGCCAGGAGACAAAAGCAAAAAATAGATATTTGCTGCCTGCATCACCAACCCCTAGGCCAGCAAAATGGCAGACAGCAGAGCTGCAGAATCCTATCCCATAAGCAAGCAACAGCAACACCACTTTTTTAGGCCCAAGGCAAAGCTATGCATTGGTGTCTCCACAGTCTTCACCTGGTGTTTGTCTTCCTTTCACTCTTTCAATTCCCAGTGAACAGAGCTTTTATTTTTCTCATGTCAGCTATCTGACACGAGGGCTGAATGAACAGCAAGTTTCCAAAGGAAGCTTCTTGTCTCAAAGATGAAGAGTGTGTGTTTTTTTCTCAGGCTGAAAACTACTTTCCATCCTGACTGGGAGCCTGCCAGCTCTTTGGAGTGCCCTGTGACACAACCATGTAGTGATAGAGACCCTTTTGCAGGTCTACAGATTATATTTGTGGTCTTACACTGTTAAAATTAGTTCATGGTGTTTTAATCACGTTTTTTTAATCGTCTGGACAGGGAGGATTGAAAGGATACTGTCTGTATGAAAAGTGGAAAATGGGAATAGCAGCTGCTTACAACATTACAATGAGTAAAATAATTTCTCCTTTCATGCCTTTTTACAGTCTCCATTAACTCAAACTCACTTCTGGCATAAACACTTTACTTGAATTGGTTGATGCAAATGGATTTGATTCTGTTTAACTTCAAAAAGAGAGTATGACAGTAAAGAGCACAGCTACATCTTTCAGTTAATATGCTGTGCAGAGGCAGTCCAAAACATATAACCTGACTCTACTGGAAAAAGCCAATTATTATAGAAATTTGTCAAATCATTTGATTTACTGTGAAAATGCATCAGAATCTGTGAAATGGTTACAAATGTGTGAAATAGGATAAGTTCATCCTCGATACACCTACAGAGTAGATTTTCTGTGTGCATTCATTCCTACAGGTCTCTTCAGAAGAATCTGCTAAGAAAACTTTATGCTGACGTTTTCAGAAAATACCAAGACCTTAAAAACCTGTAAGGAACCGTTTAAACTTAAAGTATCCATTAAGATCTTTAAATATTCATTCTTTCTCTCACTCTCTCTGACACACTGTACAAGCCTTAATGTGACAGGCCTCAGTTTACATTCAAAATTCTGTTTTGTCTTACACTCCAGTACTTCACTAATCATGAAACCTGTTTGCTTCAAATAATGCGATTGGCATCTTTTTTTTTTTTTTCCCAAAGCTATGATTTCTGTGTATTTAACTGTTCTTATATTGATTGCTTTGTACCAGCAAAATGTTAAAACCTCATCGTGTCTGAATGAAGTTAGATTTGTGATGAATAGCAATATACCTGGTGTAGGGAACCTGCTTTGGCAAGGGGGGTTGGACATGATGATCTCTGGAGGTCCCTTCCAACCCCTACAATTCTGTGATTCTGTAATATGCCAAAGGAAGTGGAAGCATGAATCGTTTACTCAGCAAAATCAAAGCTTGAAGCCTTTCCACTGGAATGGGAAGCTTACTCACATGGCATTAGCTTTTACCTCTGAATGTGCCTGCTACCAATCTGCTGGTGTTGCAGAATCATAGAATGATTTGGTTTGGAAGGGACTTTTAAGATCATCTAGTTGCAATCCCCTGCTATAGGCTCAACTAGTCAAATTATCATAGCAGTATAACAGGAGGTGTGTTTATGATGTGCAATGCATGTGTTGTTCAAAAATCGTAGCTTTTAATGAGTTTGATTGATATAGAATTAGTTCCATTAAGGATTACATGCAAAATTCCAAAACCAAACGTTCCTAGGAAATATACTGGATGTCAGCTCTTATGGCAAGTGTTCTGTACTGCAGCACCATCTTGTGTCCACAATGTTAATTAAGTACCATTGCCTTAAGGACTTTAAAGATGTGTTTTCATTAAGAGTACAGACATACCTCCCTGAAGAAGGTATGTGTTGCTGACATGAACTTCGCACATCTCTGAGTGCATGTGTTTAGAAAGCTCTTGAGCTGTGAACATCATGGACCTGTTGTGTAAAAGCTGGTGTTTTTGTCTCCACAGCAGGAATCTCAGGGCTGATCTATCAGGAGATGGAGCATAACCATTTCCTTGTTCATTGTAGGCAAACCAAATGTCCCGTTAAACACATTCTATGTTTCCCCCACGATTTTTTATTTATTTTAAAACACCTTTGCAGTCCCTGCAACTCCAGTTCTGAAATGATAATTGTCAAATATAGGATGTCAGAAAGCTTGACGGCCTCTTTTCCAGGTTAGCTGATAAACTGTAATTCTTTACTTACGCTTCCTTTGACTTTGCATGCAACAGGGAATCGATTGTTGTTGGTTTTGTTCTATCTTCCTAGATATCTCCAGGACAATAAAATCAGAGCCGTGTCCAAACATGCTTTCAAAGGTTTATACAACTTGACAAAACTGTAAGTATTGCTTTAAGAATATTTAAGAGAAACTGGAACAGCTCTGAGAATTGCTGTGGATATCACTCTCTTATTTGTTTGAACATTAGGAGATTATATAATGGTCCAAATCTTTATCTCCGTGGTATGAAGGAGAAAACAAAGATTGAGAGCTATCTGTGCTCTGTCAGGACAATATTCTGACAATACAAGTGGGCTCCATAAATCACTCCTATTGCCCAAATATGCAGAATAGAAGGAGACAATATGATAGTCAGAAAGAATGGAAAAGGGAGTAAAACACAAGCAAGATCTTGTACTGAATTAGAACTCTTTAACATGCTATTCTGGTTCATTGAAGTAAACCCGAGCAGCCAGTATCAGTAATGAAAAGAACACTTTTGTTTTCCCATAATTTTGCAGTATCTTTTTGTAAGGGAGTCCAGACTTGTAAGGAAAGAGCTGAGTGAAAGAGAAGATGGGTAAATTCCATCACTCGGTTCAGTCTTTTGTCTCTGCTGTGTTTGTGATGGGATTTTATTTTATTTTTTTTTTTAATATTGTACACCTTACATTTCCTTCACAAGTGTGAAGTTATCTGTTATTGCAGCTGCCTTTATTACTCTCCCAGATCTCTTATAGTGCTGCTTTTGTTTCCCCACGTTTCTTTTTCCACTGTTTGGGCATCTCCATTTATGACTAATATCCTTAGCAAAGACTGAGTGTGACCACAGAAAATTCATGGAACTAATTACTCCACATAATGAAACTGGAATGGGGCTCCAAAGTAGCATGGTGAAAGGGCTCAGCGTGCTGTGTTTTCTTATCTGTAAGGCAAAATATTTCACATAATTGTTCAGAAAGTCCTCACTCACTCTGGTGAGTTCCTCTCCTGCTATCTATCTATTTGAGTTGCTCTGGCATTTCAATGAAAGACTCATGCTTAAACATCTCCTGATGCCAAAGAAAGCTGGTTTTCCAGGGGACACAGAGGCTGGAATCACATACCAGTGTGTGTTTCCTTGTAAGTGGGTTATCTTTCAAAAGTAAAAAAAAGAAATTTCCCACAGTCAAAAATAGTAATGATAAGAAATTGCATCAATTATCAAGGAAAAATCTTAAAACACTCTTTCATGCATCTGATGCATCTCATTTGTTTGTCTTTTATTGATCTTGATTCAGATACCTGAGTAACAACAAGATAACCAACTTGAAGCCTCACGTCTTTGAAGATCTCCATAAACTTGAATGGCTGTATGTAACTTTCTCATTGATGTGTTTGTCTTCTCAAGGAGTAATTAAAGCAAGTTAAAGGAAATATTTGGACTGTTTAAACTGTTGTGCATAGCACTGCTTTTGTACCAGATAATATTTAAGGAACTCATGCTGCACTTTGTGGGGGAAAAAATGGAAAGCAATTACTTCCTCTAAGTTAAAAATATTTCTAAAAAATATTACATTATTCTGAAAGAAAATGAATATGTATACCCTGACCTGCTATGCAGGAGTGTGCCAATACCATTTAAGTAGTTTGAGTGAGTATTTGAAGAATGCGACTTCAAATTTTGTTGTCTTTTTTCATCTGTTTAACTTAAGACTGTAGACAGCTCTCAGTCTGACATGTGTTTTGCTATAGGATAATTGAAAACAATAGGATAAATCGGATCTCTCCATCGACATTTTATGGACTCAAATCACTTATTCTCCTGTAAGTATGGAATAAGAATCAAAAGTGTTACTTAAAAAGATCATATAGAATAAATACATACATCTGTTTATAATGGCTGTGATTGCTCATCACGCCATATTGTCTGCTGTTGCAGAAGAGCTTCTATTTCAGAAGCATCTCCACGCCTGTGGAGCCCATATTTTCACACATAGACAAACTGCCCAACTGTGGTTATGAACTATCACAATCAATGGGAATGGAACTGCTTTTCCTGAAGCCACAACAGAGGTTAAAGAGGATGTGTGAGACCTTCTACTTTGCAAAGTGAATGTACAACAAAATCCCTGGGCGAGCACTAAACTCGCTCATAAGAAAGTCTGCAATATTTTCCTTAGAGAGGACAAAAATATGCCAGCTACAGCAGTGGGTGCCAGTTACCCACTGGGAGGTTATGGGGAGCCACCACTGCCCCATGGCTCCTGCTCTTACTTCCCTTTCCAAGTCTCTGCCCATGAGCTGCCCCTGGTCTCCAGCAGCCCAGAGAGAAGCCTCCCTCCATCTCCCCTTTCCCATGTCACTAAGAGAAATTACATGTTATGACAGCATAGTCAAAATACTCACAATGACTTGCTTTGTTTAATTTTAAAAGCTATGAAATAAATATTTTTCCTTTACCCGGTAACTGACGCGATAAGGAAAAAAGCAGTGCTTCACAGAGTTGTATAGAATTTTAAGAAAATAATAGTATCCCTAAAGCTGTGAGAAATGAACGAAGCTTTGAGTGCTTTCTGCCTTTTTTTCAAAAGCACAAGAGCTTTTTTTTCCACAATGTCATTTTTTGCAAATGTAGCCAGCTATACTGTTTGTTGTTGTTGTTTCCAGTGAGATGATGAATAATTCTCTTGCTCATTTGCCTGACAAACCTCTGTGCCAATATATGCCGAGACTGAACTGGCTGTAAGTATACCTTATTTTCCACTAGAAAATATTTTCTTTTCTTTGTGTCACAGAATCACAGAATGGCCAGGGTTGGAAGGGACCTGAAGGATCATGAATCTCCAACCCCCCTGCCACAGGCAGGGCCACCAACCTCCCCATTTAACACCAGCCCAGGCTGCCCAGGGCCCCATCCAACCTGGCCTTGAACACCTCCAGGGATGGACGGGGCATCACAGCCTCTCTGGGCAGCTGTTCCAGCACCTCACCACTCTCTCTCTAAAGAATTTCCCCCTGACATCCGGTGTATTGCACTTCTGTAGCACTTTTTATAATGGACAGTGGAATGATCTTACAGAATGCCTGCTGGTTCACAGCAGGGTTGATGACCTGAAGTCGTTAGTCTGGTGTGCAGAGAAATTAGATGTCTGGTTTCTGTTCTCTTTCTTGCAGTCATAATGTTCTAGTAGTAGCTTTCTTTAATTACATTAGAATAACAGCCTGATTGCAATAAATTTATTTGCATGTTTTGTTTTTATATCCTAGAGACTTAGAAGGCAACCATATTCATCACTTAAGAAACGTCACTTTCATCTCCTGCAGCAGTTTAACTGTATTGTAAGTAATAGGGATATACTGGCTAGAGAGAATGAGCTGAAATTTTCCTTAATGTTGTGGTTATTTACATGTAAGGAAACTTAATTATAAATCAGCACCATACAGAATAACCACTGTTTAAATTTGGATCAAAATTCAGCCTTCAGGTGCCCAGCTAAATTTCGCTGAAGCGATTATGACCAATATTTAGAAGTTCTCAATCTGACATTTTACTTGGAAAAGAAGGAAAAAAAATAAAATACAGACCAAAAAGCAGCAAAAACACAAACCACGTTTGGCTCATTTCTTCATTTCAAAAAGTTCAACAGCCTGGTTGGTTGGCCCAACAATTTGAGAATTGTAGAATTCTCTTCAAAGTTTCTTCTGTAATGTCACGATGTCTTCAGAAATCCTGTCAGCCATTTGATAGATTAGGAGCCTGCCTGTTCACTTCCAATTTTTAATTCTTCCATGGTACTCCTATTCTTGGTTTTCTCTTTGTTCATTAAATCATTGATTGTTCATTAAATCATTGATCGTTCATTAAATCATTGATCGTTCAATCAAGGATCAAGTGCAGTAGCAGATGATATATGGGTGAAGGTGTTGCACAGCCATGAGCCTATGTCCTGAAGGCTGTTAGGTCCCAAGCCTTCTAGCCTAGTTTATCTTTCTCCTGCTCTCAGAAGATGTATTTTGATCTCCTATGGGTAAAGGAATGTTTGGGGTGACTGAAGAGCACTAGAATGGCAGCCTCGCTAAATGAGCTTGCCAGAAAGAACAGCCTGAACATTCAAACCTCTCCCAGCAATTAGTTTTATTCCTGAAATAATCTTGAAATCTCAAAGCAATCAGTAGTTAATTGTGTCTTTCTGTTATTCTGCAATACTTTTGTATTTTAGTTGTTGGTAGGTACCAATACAACTGAAGAGCACACAGTACATTCGCATACATGCAACACAAGTTATTTGTGCAGTTGGGTATCTGATGAGCTTGTTAATTGAATATGTGAGGCTGATTTCTGAAGATCCAGATAAGAAAGAATCTTAGAAGTTCTGAAAAGTTTTCTTCAAAGCCAAGCAGTCCTTGAGCAGCAGAAGTATATGCTTGTTTTCTCCTTCCAGGGTGATGAGGCAAAATAAAATCAGATCTCTGAATGAAAACAGCTTTTCTTCTCTCCAAATGCTAGACGAACTGTGAGTCCATTTCTTCTCTTTCTTGTATGACAAGCCACAGACTTTCATAGTTTATTTTCCATATATTATACCATAAATTAAAGGTATTTTACTCTTTTTGATGCAAATAAAATAATAACAAATTATGATCTAATGATGTCTCCAAAATAACTAGACCAAGAGAAATCTGGTGTATCTAGCTTTCCATGTTATTTTAACAGCATTCTTTTATAGTCCAAGTGTTGTAAAATCTATCTAGTATGAAATATTTGTCAAATAGAATGAAACTGTGTGTCTTGAAATTACAAAACTCTTCAGCAGAATTGTTGAACCTACTGAGAACTTACTACGTCTCACCTATGGCTGTTTCTGCAGGGACTTGGCTAGCAATGAGATTGAATCACTTCCTGCATATGTGTTTAAGGATCTAAAGGAGCTTTCACAACTGTAAGGATTCATTTATTATTATTATTATTATTATTAGACTGTACATTACTCATATGATATGCTTTCATTCATGAATGCCAGGAAAAAAAGAGCATCTCTGTATAAGCTTTGCCTAAAAAACACTTGACACAAAAGCAATTTCACATGTCATTTACCTTTAATTTTATGTTTGTCATTTTGCCCTGAATAATTTTGTAAAATATGTCATTTCCATATCCAAAAAGAGAGCAAATTCAAATTCTATTTTTTTCCAGATCTTACTAGTGTATGCAAAATGACCTGTGCTAGCTATATTAGGAGAACTTTATCGTTTTGATGGGAGTTTTTAATATGATGTTATGATTTGGCTCTAAAAATTAAAAGGGTAAGAACTTGATAGCATCGTTAGCAAGTGCTTTCCTCTTGTAAAAGAGATCCAAAGAAGTGTAAGGCATTATGAAACAAACAAACAAAAAAGGCATTCTTTCTTTTCCATAACGTGCATGGAAAAATTCTCAAGTGCTGAAAAGTCCCAGTCTTTCTTACATAATCTGCAAGATTATGTCAGAAAACTGAAGATCTCTCCACAGGGCTCAGGCCAGCACATTTAATCCCGCATTGATTTTAAACTAGGAAGACAGTACGGAGAGGCAGCAAGACTCCCCACTGCACTCAATAGCTGTGTAAACCCAATGTACCTTTTGAGAAAGCATTGATTATTTTTTTTTCTTTCTTTTTTTGTTCATTGCCATGAGCAAGTTTTACTGGAGGTTAACCCACCTGTGCAAAGTCCCTGTTCTTACCCTTGCCAGACACAGATCTCTGTTTCTAGCCAGGACCCAGCATGTGCAATACCTTATTTTTCTGCTTTTCCAGCACTCTTGGGATCAGTCACAACTCTTGGGATAATCAAGTGTAGCCAGCTGCAGATACTGAGCTTTCATGTTAAATTTACCTTATCTAAACAAAAACATAAGGAAGAGTTATAGGGAGAAGAAATTAGAACTATCTCTATCTGTTTTCACAGAAATCATTAGAAGTGATGGGTTTTATCAAGTACCAAACTAAACTTTGTTTCTAAATGTGTGCAGTTCAGCTACATTCTTTTACTTACTCAAAACCTTCAAGCGTCAGGTTGGGGGATGCAGATGTGCACGTGAATGTATGTGGCAGTAGCATAGTATGAAGCATCTGGCTACTCTTTCCATTGGGAGGGTATTTACCAAGCTGAATAACGCTACAGAAATGATGTTACTTATATTCACAACTGCCAAGAGAGCAGGTCCTTCCTGGAGGGCTGAAAAGTAGTTTTACTTTATCTTTGAAGAGGCTGTAAAGAAGATGTATGATGTTACTTTAATTCTCTGTTGTATTTACAGGAACCTTTCTTACAATCCAATCAAGAAAATACAAATGGACCAGTTTGATTTTCTAACCAAACTCAAATCCCTGTAAGTATCAAGTTTTTCTATTCAAACACTTAGCTATGTTTTCTTTGTGATAAAGCACATCTTCAGAAGTTCATAATACAAAACGTGTTTTTAAAAGAAATTTCCTTTGAACCAGACTGTAGCTATTCAAAAATTTCAGCCTGGAAAGTAACTACTAGCAATATTCCAATGTACCTTCATTTAAATACAAGGTTCTTACTGGATATTTCTCAAATGAAAAGAAATCGTGAGTTCCACTTCACAAAGAATGTTGTCTTTTCAAGTGTTAAAAAGCAAGTTTAATGGAACCCAGCTTTGATCTTGAACAACTTGTCCATAGGGTTAAGAGTCACGTGAAGCTCAGTAGGGGCTATTGAATGCCATGGGTAGACAACATTAGAATCAGTAAAGGCAGGAATTGAAAAGGAAATTGATGTACGTACAGGTTTGACTGGAGAACTGTTTCACCTCTTACAGAATCCACTACTAACACCATTAAAAAAACAAAACAAAAAAACCCACAAAGCAATCATGGTTCGGCCGTCTTGTCAGAGGGGGTGGGATTTTACAAATCTTTTTTAGGGAGTTGAGAGGAAAATTTTGTATCTTGGCTAACACAGCAGCTCTAACACGAATTCTGCCAGCTTGGAAAGACTGTGTGATGTAGGGAGTAGGTCTGTACAAGTTACAGCAACAACAAGTATCTGAGCACAGAAAAGAATTATAAGCTACCTCTTTCTTTTTTTTCAAGTTACAGCATGTCCTTCATTCATTATTTAACACTCAAAGAACTCGTGCAACTCAGTGCTCAAGACCTTCCATGTTTCAAGTTAGGAAAGCTGATGAACCTTGAGACAGATCTACATGAAAGAGTATGTCTCAGCCCTCAGTCTGTAGAATATCCATTTCCTCTTTCCCAGCTTAAAATAGTAGGTATAGCTAGGGAAATCAAGCCCAGGATTAATTTCAGGGCTTAACTAAAATTTACAGGTTTCTATATTTGGGGAGTTATTCTTGTCTCATAGCAGAATTTCCCAAAACTAAAAACCATTAAGATTGGTACTTTTACCCTCTTTTGCCTAAATATACCCAGGACTCACAAGTATTTTGCACTCAGGGCATTTAAAAGTGGATTCATACAAGGTTCCACGCAAGGAAAACCAAAGGTTTTCACAAGTTACTCATCTAATTATTTTAGACTAGAATACAGAAACTGAAGTTCTGAAAGAGCAACCTGCACAGTTACACTGTATTGGTCTACTACTGTAGGAGTATTAAAATATATCTTAAAAAATCAAATAAGAAATCCTATGTATTTGTCACCAGAAGTCCAACGTTTTCCCTAATATGCAGAATTCTGTGTACCAGCTTCCTGCTGCTCTTGACACAATAAAATCCTGCATTCCTGCTGTGATGTGTTTGCCTAGTAAAGCAATATTTGGGATGGAAGGCAGAAATTTAAAATATCACTGCTGGAACAAGTTATGATTTTTCCAGGGATGGTGAAAGAGAGTTGGTAGAGCAACACTTGAGAATGGCAATCATGGATGGCACTGCTGAGAGCACCAAAACTGCCTTGTTTGAGATACTGGAAAAATAGCAAGTTTAGTAAAATTAAGTGTGATTCATTTTGTTCCACTTTAGCTTTTATTTAGGGTTTCTATTCAAGTTCCAGAAGAATGATGGAGTAGACACAATTAAGTTCATCTCTAATTTCATAACATGAACGCACAGTTTCATCATATGAATACAGTATAAATGCTCACCCAATTTGTCTTTCTGCCACTGAGTTTCTACTGCATTTCATTGAGAATATATTGTTTACAGCAGCTTGGAGGGCATTGAAATTGCAAACATCCAGAGAAGAATGTTCATTCCACTTAGAAACCTTTCCCACATGTAAGTAGATCATCATTGCAGCTTGTTTTCTTTGGTTGTAATTTCACAGTTTGCAGATTACTGAATAAGAAAAAACGGTTATTAAGTAATTTAAAATTCATTTATCTTCTTTTGAGATACGTTTTCTGAATATTTACCAAAGAGGTTTTATATTCTGGCTACAAAGATAGAGCCATCTATTTTCTGTCTTTCTTTCTCACGACCAGATATTTCAAGAAGTTCCAGTACTGTGGATATGCCCCTCATGTGCGCAGCTGTAAGCCTAATACTGATGGGATTTCATCCCTGGAGAATCTTTTAGCTAGCATTATACAGAGAGTGTTTGTCTGGGTTGTATCTGCCATCACTTGCTTTGGAAATATTTTTGTTATCTGTATGAGGCCTTACATCAGATCGGAAAATAAGCTCCACGGCATCTCAATAATGTCTCTCTGCTGTGAGTATTCCATGCATGAAAGTAGAAGAATATTGTTTTAATCTGCTCGTAGTGTGTACAGTATTTGTTATTACAAAATGGTGACACATTTCCAGCATTAGATGTACTGAACCCTCATGCTCGTGTGAATGGCAATACAAAATGCCGTATCTTCCCCACCAGGAAGTCTTGTTGGATGCTACCTTTGTTCTGTAACAACAAACTGTTGATAGATTGCAAAGGTTTCATGATTTTAGTGCTGTAGACATTGGAAGGTTGGAAGGGACCTCAAAGCCCACCCAGTCTCAACCCCTGCTGTGGGCTGGTTACCCCCCACCAGCTCAGCTGCCCAGGGTCCCATCCAGCCTGATCTTGAGTTCTTCCAGGAGTGGGGCACCCGCAGCAATGTGGGCGGCTGTGCCAGGGCCTCACCACCCCCTGGGTGAACAATTTCCTCTTAATGAATCATAGAATCACAAGGTTGGGAAAGACCTACAAGATCATCCAGTCCAACCGCCCTCCCATCACCACTGCTACCACAAGCACTAACCCAGATCTCGCAGCTCCTCATCCAGGCACCTCTTGAACGAACACTGCCAGGGATGGCGACTCCACCACCTCCCTGTGCAGCCATTCCATGCCTGACCACCTTCTGAGAGATAAAGTTCTTCCTCATGTCCAACCTAAACCTCCTCTGGTACAACTTGTGGCCATTCCCTCGGGTCCTGTTTGTTGCCTGGGAGAAGAGGCCCAACCCCTCCTAATCATAACCTCCCTTTGTAGAGTTGTAGAGTGCAGTGAGGTCTCCCCTGAGCCTCCTCCAGGCTAAACAATTGCATGGGATTCTGTTACCATTCCTAATAGCCCATCTCAGTACAAATCCATCTAAACTTAAATATTTCACAAGTGGTATTAGCTGCATTTTTAAATGTAATTGTCAGCAGGGTATAAAATGGCAGCATTTCTATATACTGCATGTCAGTGATTCTCAAATTGTTATTGCTTAACCATTAGAAAAATCTGAGCACCATGCAAAACTTCTAGTCACTGAGATTATACATAAGCATGTATGTGTGTGCGTACATGAGACACCTTCAGCTCTGTGTTGACAGCTCCTCTTGAATTTGTAGTGTTAGCATTGCAGAAATATTTGTTACTGAGCCTTTTCTTGGTAAGTCCATATAAAATATAATAGGAGTAAGAAGAGGTGTCATGATCTTTCAATATAAGCAATCAAGGCTCGTTGTTTCTCTTGCTGGACTAGAGTTGAAAACGTGAAGCAAATGCTAGAATTTAATAATTATTTTTACCCTGCCATCATTATTGAGCACGTGAGGAATGGTGAGCGCATCCTGAGAGATCTACAATACAAGCTCACTCATTCTAATGCTCCAAAAGGAGCTCAACAAATGTCAGAGCAATCCCTCTAGCATTACCCTAGGCACGCACAGGAGCTTCCCTCTACCTTCTGCCTTTCCCTGCTGAGCTAATCAGGAGGAAGAGCACTGTTGATTGTGTTTGCTGACTGCTTTCAAGTCTTAGTAGAAGCTTGTGCACATCAGTTTTGAATTATTGTAAGATGGACAAATCTAAACTAAACTTAAATGGAATGAATTAAATTGACGAATTAAAACTAAACTTTTAATCCAACCCAAGAAAAGAGTTGAAAGCGTATTTCTATAAATTGAAGTATGCTTTTTCAGCTTGAAAACCAATTTTATTCAGGATTCAATATATAAGTCTGAAAACAACTATGAAACATAGACTATTAGCTCAAACAAAAGCTGACAAAAAGGAGTAACAGAGCTGAATTATGTGGCCTTTGCTACAACTCATGGTATCATTCCAACTCTAACATTGGTTTTATAACTGTGTATTAGCTGGCTTAAAAATGTGTACTAACGTGTGCATGTCTGTTTTTCAACAGACATATACACAAAGAGAACGGGAAATTCAGATGTGTAAATAATGATGTTAAGCACTATGCCCACAGGTGCTGACTGTCTGATGGGAATATATTTATTTGTGATTGGAGCTTTTGATCTTAAATATCGTGGAGAATACAACAAGCACGCTCAGTTGTGGATGGACAGTATTCATTGTCAATTGGTGGGATCGCTGGCTATTCTGTCTACAGAGGTGTCAGTCTTACTGTTGACTTACCTGACTTTGGAGAAATACATCTGCATAGTTTATCCTTTTAGGTGTTTGAAGCCCAGAAAATGCAGGACAATTTCCATTTTAGTTCTTATCTGGATAATTGGGTTTGTTGTTGCTTTTATTCCACTGAGCAATAAGGAATTTTTCAGGAACTACTACGGCACCAATGGCGTCTGTTTCCCTCTTCACTCAGAGCAATCAGAAAGTTCAGGAAGTCAGATTTATTCTGTTGTCATTTTTTTAGGTAAGTTGCCTTTTTTCCTGATACATGATTAGAGCCTTCCTTATATACAACAATGGTCCTGATTTTCAGACAGATTTGGCAGCTTTGTTGGGATATTCATTTTTCATACAGACCTTTTCCAATCTATTTTGTTATATTAGATTGATACTTAGGTATCTTAAGATGTATGAAGGGCTCAGAAGTTGGAAAGAAGGTAGAATCATTGAGTTCCTGAAGGAATAGATTTTTGCCAGGGAAGTAAAGAGAAGAGCTGCACTGTTTGGCTCCAATAGCAAACATTTGTCAGGTGATGATGATGTGATTACTGGAGTAGAGATTCTATGTTTGAGAGAAGACTGTTTAATTTTATGGGATTGGCAGTTTAGAGCAAGGATTTTTCTTTATTATCCAACTTGCAAACAAGTGATGTGGAACTGCTGTTCTGCTTTTAAGAAGTAACTAATTAAAGCCTTTTCAACAGGTGTAAACTTGGCAGCTTTTCTCATCATTGTCTTTTCCTACGGAAGTATGTTCTACAGTGTTCACCAAACAGCCATTATGGCTACTGAGATTCAGAATCATATCAAAAAAGAGATGACACTGGCCAAACGTTTTTTCTTCATTGTATTTACTGACGCACTGTGTTGGATACCCATTTTTATTTTGAAACTCCTTTCTTTACTGCAAGTAGAAATACCAGGTATGTTCTTCCCCTTGTTGCTGTTTTGGCTGTGCATGAAGATAGTTTCTCGTTTAGAACAAAGAATTGAATGTATTGAATTATATTACTGTAATGAACTATATGCTTATTTATCTTCATAGATGAACACACAATATAATGAATTATACTTTGCTTTATTACTGCACTGGATTATATTACTATCATCTACAAGGTTAGTCACGTTTAATTTGGACATAACAACAAAAAATCAAATCTTTGAAGTCTGTCCCAATAGAATATCTATAAAATATATCAGATGATTTTGTAAACCAAGCTTGCACTGGATTGGCCTTTCTCATCTTCTGGCTTTCGGAGATTCTGTTGCCTAACCAGCGTTCAAGCCAACACAAAATTTCATATCTTGATTTAACCATATAATTCTTACCCTGAAATAACTTCAAGCACTGACACTTCAAGCACTAAGTTATGTAAAATCAAGCTAACCTTCTTCATGCTAAAAATACATTCCCATGTAAAACCAGTAAAAGATTAGAAACTTTAAAAGCTTTGTGGGGGGACTTATAATGAATAATACTGAGGAATAGGGAATATAGATCCCAGGCAGTGACAGGAAGCAAAGAATAGAGAAGATACAAGAGCAAAGGGTAGTGCAAAAATAATAGTGAGAAGAAACAACCTGCGATATGAAGCCAAGCTGGAAGTGTGCAGCCACCCCTCCAAGCAGGAAGCTCTCTTTCATAAGCATCAAGGGCTCATGTTAATTAATGGGTAGAAACGCTATAATGCCTACTACAGCTTCCTTTCTTTTTCTCTCCCCAAGGTACCATAACATCTTGGGTAGTGATTTTTATCTTGCCCATAAATAGTGCTCTGAATCCTCTTCTCTACACTTTGACTACACGACCCTTCAAAGAAATGATTCACCAGTTCTGGTACAACTACAGACAAAGAAGATCCAAAAGGGGCAAAGGCAGTCAGAAAGCTTACGGTCCGTCCTTCATTTGGGTAGAGATGTGGCCAACGCACGAAATCACACCAAAGCTAACTAACCCTGTGCTTTGTACAGACTCCTCTGATGCCTCTGTCACTACACAGTCAACAAGACTAAATTCCTACACGTAAACACGTTTGGAATCTTCACAGCGATGTCTGCACGCCTGTGGAGTTGCTGCTTTGCAACAACGATGACAAGCGAGGGAGGTATGACGCCTGGGCTCCTGCGCACCAGAACTCAAAGCAGGAAGAAGCACAGTGTGGCTGCTTGCAGGTAGAACCAATATATCAAGTGTTATTTCCACCTTGCAACAGTTCCTGCTATTTTGACAACTCATTCTAGTTCAGAATGAGAAGTCAATCTCTTCTTTCTTTTTTTTCCTCCAGCAAGCCAGGAGTGTGGGGAAAAACAAATAATGAAGTGTTATTTAAAACATCTCATACTGAAATCACAGCATTTCAAAATCATCTATCTTTGGGGGAAAAAAAGGCTATTTTCAATAAACTTTTTGTAGTTAAAAAAAATACCCATTTCAACAGCTCTTTTATTTTTCAGAGTTGACTGGTTTCATCTTCAAAATCATACTCCTCTCAAGATTTCTGAGTGGTAGACTTTTTAGACTGCATACAGCTCTTAAAAGCTTTTGGGAATAGCACTAAGAAAATATTTTCATTTCATAATTAGATGACTTTATTATATTTGTCAAGGTCAAACAGGTGGAAACGTTATTCCTTTTATCAACCGTTTCACCCATACAACTGTTGTAATTCAAGCAGAATCAGAATATTCTTTTTTAAATGTGTTTCTCAACTGTGTGTCCTCCAGCTGTTAACTAGAGGAAATTTCTCCTTTTGGAAGAGCTAGGAAGACCAAACTGAGCACCCCAATATCTTGACGCTGCTCTTCTCCTCACCATTTCATTATGAGCTACACTAAATAGCTCCCAGCAGCTTACACACTTGAACAGGTTTCAGCCTTTATCTATCTCTGGATATTGAATAACAGGAGGGTGCCAAAGAGATGACTGTCAGTCTTAGTAGGCTTCATCACATATACATTCAGTCTCCTTGTATACCTGAACGGATGCAATATGGCTAAAAAAATTTTAGGAACACCAGTTCTGCACTTTTTGGGCTGTGTTTTTCCTCCTTGTAATAGAACAGCACAATAATGTCATCAAGCTGAAACAAACCTCTGCACCCCCAAAAAAAGGTGTTAAGGATAGATGTAGAGGCAGTTCTTTTGCATACACACACCTAAGATCTTTCCCTTAAGAATTACTGTGATTTCTTTTGTTCTTTTAGTACCGTATTCCCAGCCCAATGGCTTGGAAGCCCAAGAAGGTAAAATAAATTCTTTTGTATTGGTGATTTGAAGCTTTTTAAAATGAAGTTTAAAGATACTTCTGGTGTTTGCACTTAACTTCTTAATAATGTAAGAAGTAGAGTTAAAAATAGTGTGACTCACACTTCAGCTGTTTACAGAACTTTGGATTATCTTGAAATCAAAAGTTAAGCATCTACTGTACGTTCAATCAAAATAAAAGATTGTCCATTGAACAAAATGACTTCTGTTCCAAGTTGTTTGGCAGCACTTTGAGTTACTGGGAAAACAAACAAACAAAAACAACAGCTAAGAGGAATCCTGCAATGTAGATCACCTTTAACCCAGCCACTCAGAACTCAATTCACCAGGGCTTGTGTAATCTAAGGCTCGTTCAGAAAGCTGCTCCCCTGCTTTCAGTAGGATGTCTGTCCTTATCAATGTTCCTATTTTTCTTTTAAGTTGATTCTAAATGCACTCAATGTCATCCTCATTTCTATGAGTAATCCAAGAATATCCATCAGTTCAAAATTTGTTGTAAGAACTTTATTGCTTTGATAACAAAACTACAGCTTCTCTTTAAAATAGCTTATACCAGGGAAAATATGGCTGATCCAGGGTATAGCTACATTCTCCTGCAGCTTCCCCTTGTATTTTAGCATTTGCAGCTGTGGTAAAGGCACAGGAATTTCGGCACAGATATTTATTACATAACAGTGATCTTACAGACCCAAAGGCCTTGGTAACAGCACCAAACTAATGAACTAGTAACTGCTTAAGGCAAGACATAAAAACAGCATCAAGTACAAAAAAAGTTCTTCCCCAAGATGGGAGAGTCCGTTTCACAGGTTCTGTCCTAACTGATGGAAGCTTTTCCTTGTGCTTCAGAACAATTAATCCTAACAGTAAACACTGCTGATGTGGACCACCATAAGGCACTTTATTACAACGGAAAATAGTGTAAAATTGTTGACAGTAATAAAACTTCTCGTAAAACAAAAATGCAACCTCACAGAAATATACCACACTAAAATAATAATGTCTGGGACAGGGGGATTACCTAAAGCTTGTAAATAAGCCACAACCTGCCACACGATCCCATCCTTTCCATAATGAAAGAGCACAGGCACGGGAAGGCTGGAGGCTGTGGAAGTTCTCACAAAGACATCCAGCAACGAGGAGTGTTCAAAAGGCTGCAAAGTACAGGGAGCAGGGTAACTCCGTGTGCGTTACTTCAGCACGAACCTGAGATCACCTGAGCTTCTGAGGAAGTCCAAAGTCGCAACGTTATTTTCACACGACTGCAATTCATGCACGCAAAACAGACATCCATACGGCTCGGTCCCACAGCAGCTCACTCGCTGGGCTTCAGGGAGTCGTAGCCCTCCTTCAGCAGGTCCCGCCACGTCCGCAGGCAGCGCGCGTTCTCCGAGCAGCGAGCCGCCAGCGCCTCCACCTGTGCCGACACGGCGCTTGTCGCCTGCAGGACGCGGCTCAGCGAGAAGGCGGCCTGAGGGCGGGCAGACAGACAGATAGAATCATAGAATCACAAGGTTGGAAACGACTTGCAAAGATGATCTAGTCCAACTGTCCTCCCATCACCACTGCTACCACAAGCACTACACCACATTTCATAGCTCCTCATCCAGACGCCTCTTGAACACTGTCAGGGATGGCGACTCCACCACCTCCCTGACAGCCATTCCAGTGCCTGACCACCATCTGAGAGAAAAAGTTCTTCCTCATGTCTAATCTAAACCTCTTCTGATACAACTTGCATCCACTTCCCCGGGTCCTGTTTGTCACCTGGGAGAAGAGGCCAAACCCCTCTTTACCCCAGCCTCCCTTCAGGAAGTTGTAGAGTGCAGTGAGGTCTCCCCTGAGCCTCCTCTTCTCCAGACTGAACAATCCCAGCTCCCTCAGCTGCTCCTCATAAGACTTGTGCTCCAGACCCCTCACCAGTTTCGTTGCCCTTCTCTGCACACGCTCCAGGGCCTCAATGTCTTTCTTGCAGTGAGGGGCCCAAAATTGAACACAATACTTGAGGTGCGGCCTCAGCAGAGCTGAGTACAGGGGATGATCACATCCCTGCTCCTGGTGGCCACACCATTTCTAATGCAGGCCAGGATGCCATTGGCCCTCTTGGCCACCTGGGCACACTGCTGGCTCCTGTTCAGCTGAGCATCAGCCAACACCCCCAGGTCTCTTTCCTCCTCACAGTCATCCAGCCTCTCATCCCCAAGCCTGTAGCACTGCATGGGGTTACTGTGGCCAAAGTGGAGGACCCGGCACTTGTCCTTGTTGAACCTCATCCCATTCACAGCCCAGCGATCCAGCTTATCCAGATCCCTCTGAAGGGCCGCCCTACCCTCAGGCAGATCCACACCACCTCCCAGCTTGGTGTCATCTGCAAACTTATGAGGGTGCACTCGATGCCCTCATCTAGATCATCAATGAAGATATTAAACAAGATGGGCCCCAGCACCGACCCCTGGAGGACACCACTTGTAACGGGTCGCCAGCTGGACTTCATTCACCACTTCCCGTTGGGCACGGCCCTCAGGCAGTTCCTTAGCTAAAGAAAGGTGCACCTGTGCAGGCCACGGGCAGCTAGTTTCCCCAGAAGAATAGTATGAGATTGATTGATTGATTGATTGATTGAAAGACGTGTTCATGCGGACCCCCTCCCGCCCACTCGGCGTGCACTCACGTCGCCGATCTGCATCTCCACCTCCTCCAGCTGCAGGGCTCCGGCCGGCGCCGCTCCTTCACTGCCGCTGCGGGCCCGCCGAGGCCCGGTGCTGGGCGAAGCCTCCGCCATAGCCCGCGCCGCACAGCGCTCCGATCCCGTTCTGTCTCGCGAGAGCCGCGCGGCATGGCGGGAGCGGTAGTTTTCTCCAAGGGGCGGGGCGAGCGCTGTCGAATGCGCGCGCGCGGTGGGGCAGGGGGCAGATGCCCGCGGTGCTGAGGGCGCGGAGTGGGGTCGTGTGGTACCGCCATGTTGTTTTCTCACTGTCCGTCCTCCAGCCGAGGTAAGTCGGGGAACCGGCTGCATGGCTGCACGCACGGCGCGGTGGGGCTGGGTCTGGCGCGGAATGGGAGCAAAGGTCGCCGCTGCGTGGTAGCCGGTGCCGTTCCCTTGTCTGGCTGGCGGGCCCTGAGGGCTTCTCGGTGCTGTCTGAGGGGATTTGTGTGGTAAGGAGCCGCGGTGCGGGTCTGGGCCGCGTAACCCTGGGTGCCCGCAGCGCTGCTGGCCTGTCAGAAGTGAAGCTAAGCGTCATGTGAAGGCAGGCTGCGGGAACTCCTGCAGCCTGGAGAAGAGGAGGCTCTGGGGAGGCATCGCAGTGGCCGTGTAGTACCCGAAAGAAGCTTATAAGTAGAAGGGAAAACAATTTTGCTTACAGTGGAGCTGGATAGGCTTCGATGTCCTTGTATTGCTTCTTGTAGAACCGTTTGTGTTGGAACAAGCCCCTAAAAGTCACCTCGTCCAACTCCCCTGCAGCAAACAAGGGCACCTACAGCTAGATCGGGTTGCTCAGAGTCCCATCCAGCCTGACCTTAAATGTTTCCAGTGGTGGGGCACCCAACACCTCTCTGAGCAGCTGTCCCAGTGCCTTGCTGCTCTTGTTGTAAAAAACTTCTGACTTATATTCAATCTAAACATTCACTTGGCTGCGGGGTGACCTCATTGCAGCCTATCGATACCTGAAGGGAACCTACACCCAGGAGGGGAGTAAACTCTTCAAAAGGGCTGACAACAGCAGGACTAGGGGAAATGGATCCAAGTTGAAGGAGGGAAGATTTAGGTTGGATGTTAGGGAGAAGTTCTTTACAAGGAGAGTGGTTGGGCCCTGGAACGGGCTGCCCAGGGAGGTTGTGGATGCCCCGTCCTTGGACGTGTTCAAGGCCAGGTTGGATGGGGTCCTGGGCAACCTGATCTAAATGTGTATGTTTGGTGGCCCTGCCAGGCAGGGGGGTTGGAACTACATGATCCTTGAGGTCCCTTCCAACCCGGGTGATTCTGTGATTCTGTGTGATTCTGTGATTCACTCTTATAATTTGCGGCTCTTTTCCCTTGTCCTGTCAGGACAGACCTTGCTGAAGAACCTGTTCTCTTCCTTCTTATGGCCCAGCCCCCCGTTAGATACTGAAAAGCCACTCTCAGGTCTCCCCAGGGCCTCCTCTTCACCAGCTCTCTCAGCCTGTCCTTGCAGGGGAGATGTTCTATCTTTGGGATCATTGCTGTGGCCTTCCTTTGGATGAGCTCCAACAGGTCCTTATCTCTTCTGCATCAAGAACTCCATATGCAGTGCTCCAGGTGAGGTCTCACCAGTACAGAGTAGACAGGCTGGATCTTCTCCTTTGCCCTGCTGGCCACGCTTCTTTCAGTGCAGCCCAGAATACAGTTGGCTTTGTGTGCCATGAAGGCATGTTGCTGACTCGCATCCAGGTTGCCCTCCACTAGTACTCCCAAGTCATTTTTGGCAGGGCTGTGCTCCATCCTTACGTTCCCCAACTTGCACTGATAGTGGAAGCTTGCTATGACCAGGTGTAAGACTTTGCACTTGGGCTTATTGAACCCACAGCAGGGGATTGGAACTTGATGATCCACAAGTTCCATTTCAACCTAGGCCATTTTGTGGTTCTTGAGGTTTGCCTTGGCCCACTGCTCAAGCCTGTCTAGGTCTCTGAGTGGCATCCCATCCCTCAGATGTGTCAGCCACACCACACAGCTTCCATTTGCGGGCAAAGGATGCTTGAGGGTTGTGAGAAGACAGGGTTATAGCTCTTATGCTCTCTTGGCTATGTACAGAGTTCACATTAAAAATTCATCACAGCCAATGCTTATTACTTGGTGTGTCCTGACCCTTTCTGTGCAGTCTTTTGGAGGAGGGGGGGGACTATCATATTTGTTGTACTGCTTGTGCTGGGAAAAATGGAAAGCTTTCAAAAAGGACTGTTTTGGCAAACCTGTTTTCTGTTTTTGCAGCACGTCAGTGCTTTCGTGCTCTGAAGCTCATAAAGAGGGACTGCCTTCCCTCGCTGCATACAGCAGGATGGGCATCCACTGCTGCTGTGCCTCGCATAACCACGCATTATACCATCCATCCTCGGGACAAAGACAAACGATGGGAAGGTTGGTGGGGGCAAAATGCATTTTAAAAACTTCTATTCTGATTGAGCTTTAATAGTGCTGAAATTTGTTGCTGTTTTTCTTTTCAACAGAAATTGTATGAAGTACAATATTTATATTGCAAATGAAATGTTATGCTCGCCATCTCATGAGTGTCTTTATTGCTCTGAAATGAAATTAGATTAAATCCAATCCTACGTATTTCAAGGAAATCTACAGTCAACTTTAGTGTTATACTAACACAGCAAGTTTTAGTTGTGTCATGTATGGATGTGTTGGACTTCTCCTCAGTTGTGTTTACTGAGAGAGTGTGAGAAAATAAGATGAATATTCATTCTGGGCATTCCAGTCTCTGCATTTATCAGTTTTAGTGGTTCCACTTCTGGAAAAGACTCTAATGGATTAGTGTAAAATAAAGGAATTTGTTCTAACTGAGGCTCTTTTTTTAGTTCTTTCTCCCTTCCCTAGAATTTCAGCAGGTGTCTCTGATGCAGCTAGCCAATTGGGCTCCTAATTAACTTTAATGTTAACTTCCTGATATTTATGGTGCATAGAGATTGTTTTTCATGGCTTGTTTTCTGTTACACTGAAAGGCTAATGTCCTTGTGCACTGTTCCAAGTACTGAAGGGATTCTGTTAAATGTTAGCTGCCTTTTACAACAGGTAATACTTCTCTGATACCAAATAGCCAGTATCACTAAGCAAGATTTAGCAGAAAGAGGCTGGGAGAAATTAGGGATTGGATTATCTAATTATCATCCTTTTCTTTTTTCTCCTATTGAAGGGGTAAACATGGAAAGATTTGCAGAGGAAGCTGATGTTGTCATTGTTGGAGGAGGCCCTGCAGGTCTTTCTGCTGCTATTCGTCTCAAACAGTTAGCTGCTGAGCAGGGCAAAGAAATACGTGTCTGCCTGGTGGAAAAGGCATCTCAGATTGGTGCACATACCCTGTCTGGTGCTTGCCTTGAGCCACGATCCTTAGAAGAACTCTTTCCAGACTGGAAGGAGCGGGGGGTATGTATGAACATACAGACATGTTACTGGTGTGTAATAAATTCATCCATTGGACTCAATCTTGTGTTGTGTAGTACTGTATAAAATATGTTGATCTTGCAGGGTGCGGGCAGTAATTGTTTTTTTGCTTTGCTGTGTTGGATTTTTTTGTTCTGGATTGGCTGTGAAAACAACTTACTGCCCTGTTTCTGTTCTCTTTTATGTAGGCTCCACTTCACACTCCTGTAACTGAAGACAAGTTTGGAATTTTAACAAAGAAATCTAGAATTCCAGTACCAATTCTGCCAGGTAAGGTGTGGGGAGGAGCTCTTCGTACTGTCTTTTCAGTTTCCTTTTCAGGCTTTTTGTGCCTCAAACAATTTTGATTCAATGCAGTGTTGTGAGTGTATGGAGAATCACTTGCAATGTTTGGGTCTGTGAGATGATGTCTGTAATAACACAGCAGTATTATTTTGAAAATAGTAGCTGTAGAAAAAGATACAACATCTGTTGTATATAGCTGGTGTTTGTTTGCTTAGTGTTCTGTTTCAGGTGTGTTTGTATGCTTATTTGTTTCTTGCCCAGGACTTCCAATGGTTAATCATGGGAATTACATAGTACGTCTGGGACACTTTGTGAGATGGTTGGGTGAACAAGCAGAAGCTCTGGGTGTGGAGCTGTATCCAGGCTATGCAGCTGCTGAGGTAATAATGACATCAGTATGCATACGAGAAGCATTTTGGAACCCCCCCCTGCTGCACCCCATATTATTGGTACATTCACAGCATTTGTACAGCCACAACATTCAGTGACTGAACTCCCTGGCCCAGATTCAGCAAAGCAAATCAGCAAGTACATTAATAATTACTCTGTCTACCAAGTTGTACCATTAGACAGCAGAAAGGCGTGGTGTTTAGAAGTTGTGTGTTAGGTCTTGTGAATGATGATCGTCTGAATGGGTTTTTGTTTGTTTGTTAATATTTCCAAAGGTTCTTTTTCATGAAGATGGGAGTGTGAAAGGAATAGCAACTAACGACGTAGGCATTCAAAAGGATGGAGCACCTAAAGTAAGTAGCTGTTTTCCTTAACTGGAGATCTAATTCTTGTAATTGTGATGTATCTGCTTCCAATGCTGTCGGTGATCTCACTGCAGCCCAAGAAGAATAACAAAATTCAGTGCCTGTTTTTCCTTTCTATGTGAAATTGATTAATTACACAGGAAAGTTTTGGTCTCAGAACATTGTAAGTTCCTTCTGAGATAAGCAGAAAAAGCCTTTGAAAAAAGGAGGTTTGGCTGTGGATGACTTGAAGGAAAGTCTGAAAGGATGCTTTGACCTATGAGAGATCAGGAAACAAGGGAAAGAATTCCAGGAACACCTAGAAGAAAGGTGCAAAGGTGTAACAGAAGCTGTTGTCCAGCTGGTGGCTATCAGTGCATAAGAGTGTACTTCTGGCTGATTTATCTTCTTCCATGCAACTGCTGCCACATTTGTTGACAGTCTGTCTGCCTTGCTGGGGCAAGGTACGTTCTCAGTCTTTGTACCTCTGGATGCAGCAGCTGTCCAACCAGCACGAAACGTGACCCTCTGTCCTCAGTTTCAGACTTCAGCTGATTTTTAGAGGAATCCATAACCTGTGGTAAGCATGTTTCCTCCTCATGCAGTACGCAGGGAGAGTTCAGCACCTCGGAATAGCTCAAGTTTTGCACAGTTGAGGCTACAGAAATTCTGGGTGCAAGTTGTTTTTTGTTTTGTTTTGTTTTTTTTTTTTACTTAGTCTTTCTTAGATGAAGTTTCTTACTAGTTTACATAATGTTTCCAAGAACTACTTACTTTTTATGTAAAAACCTGGGCTATTTTTCTCATTTGAGGCAGGAATTGAGAAGAAAAGACTTGTCCTTGTTGTAAGAGGCAAAAAAGCGATGGGGGAGGAAGCGGTGGTGGGGAAAAGTGATACATTTCTCAATATAAAGTTGTCTGTCTTCCACAGTGAATACACACGCATGCACTTTCCAGGTATACATTTCGTCCAGTAGGAGGTGCAAGTAGTATGTCACAGTAATAAAAGAGAGTTTTGGTTTAATTCAGGAGGCTTTTCTTTTTTTTTTTTTTTTTTTTTTTCTTCTTTTTTAAGGAATCCTGAAGATCTACATTTTATTTATTGCCACTCATTCTTGTAGAAAATATCTATGAAAATAATACTGTCAAGTTCATTAATTTGTACATAATTAAGGTGCAGCTACAATAAACTGAGCATTCGAGTGCTTTAGCTGTCAGCTCATAGTACTTCCTGGGCATTAAGATTCAGGTAAATAGATTTTGCATAATCTTCAAAGCAAAATTACCTTCAGTGTTTTTATACAGAGCCTAATCAAATACTGTGGTTAACAAATACAGTCTCACCTTGTAGTCAGCACCAGTCAAACAAAACACAGTGAAGGTAAGAATGCATGTGATGTGCATGTGATAAATGTATTTAGATAATACATATTTAGAATCTAGTATCCTTGAAGTGCAGGATTAATCTACTAGCCTATTCTAGTCTAATGCTGAAAGTGAAGTTAGAGGTGAAGTTTCTTTGCTCTGTTGGGATTCCTCTGCACGGTGTGAGCAAACTGATCTGATATGAGAAGCCCTTCCAGTGCAGAGTGGGGATTCAGTGCAGTGCTGTTCTACTGGAATCGCCTTGCAAGGTGTGCTGGAACTGTATCATAGATGGCTGTAAAATACAACTGGACAAGAGCCGTAGCTGGCAGTGGTTTGTAGACTCTGGTCAGGACCACAGAGTACTGTAAAATCACTTCACTGCTCTCCATTTTCTTCCTGGGAGTTGGTGACACAGTTGTAACAGCTTACGAGATGCTCTATTTTTGCAGGCTACTTTTGAACGAGGCTTGGAACTCCATGCTAAGGTCACTGTCTTTGCTGAAGGCTGTCATGGGCATCTAGCCAAACAACTGTACACAAAATACAACCTAAGGGAGAAATGCCAACCCCAGACCTATGGCATTGGGTTGAAAGAGGTATGATCTGCATTATTTTAATGATAAAGGAGAATAATGTCAAGATACAATGTAGTTTGCATTCAAACTACTTTGTATAAGTCATTGCAATGATTTGAATGACAGTTTCAGATGTCAGAAGCTTGGCAGTTTTGAAGCTAGTGGCATTCTATCTGAATGTCTTAACTGAATGTTTGTTTCAGCTGCTGTTTCTCTTTTTATCCAGAGTTATCTGTAAAACCGTTTTCACTTCTTTAAAATCCTTCTCATTTGTGAAATCTGCTTTCAGTGCTTCTAGTGAATAAGAGGGGATTTCTTGCTGCCTAATCTTAAGGTATTTTAGTACCTGAGGATGGGAAGAACGGTTGTCTGATTATCTTGTATATCCATTAGAGAGGAACGTGCTGTTGCAGATGAGTTGTGCTCTCTGGATGAGCTTCCCAACTTACTTTCTGCCCCCAGCCCCTGCCAATTCTTTCAATGGGTTTGTAAAATCAAGAGAGGGATTGGGTTTAGTTTTTAAAATCTTTTATGTTCAGGAAATATTAGTCATGAAAAAATACCTACAAGTGATATGGTCTTAATTAAAATTTCTCATACTTAAGTTGTACAATTAAGACTGGTTTCAGCATAGCTGTCTGCTTCGGGAAATAGTCCAATAGGAGGTGGAGCTGTAAAGTGAAATAAAGTGATGCTGATCAGCCAATATCCATGCTATGCATGTCTGAGGGTTGTTTTTACTTTGGACTAGCTCTGAGCCCTGTGGTCTGGGTTACTCTTTTGTGACTGGAATGCTTTAGATGGGCTTCTGGGGCCAGTCTTGGAGTTGAGTTTCATCTGAAAGGAATTCAGTTCATGTGTCCTGTGCCTGCTCTTTAATGTGAACTAAAGCACAGTAAGTGGGAGCAACCAGGAGTCCAGCTTAAAATGTGCCCCTTAATCCAAACTGAAATGTCCACGTGTGCGTATCCTCTGTGCTTGAGGTGCTCTAATGGCACTAAGCTGCTGGAAGGAGTAGTTCCATTCCCCTCTCATCATTAGATTACACTTGACACAGAACTTCATACTGAAGAGATGTTTTGTGAAGTAAGCAGAAAATTGACCTGTTAATGAAAACATGAAAATGCTTCTGTGAGTATGCCATGGGTTAAATGAGTAGTGGAGATGTGCAGGAGAGGGGAGGGAGGACAATTAGCTGGGCAGCAACATTTGGGTCACTTCAGCCACGTGGTTAAGCCTGACTTTGAAAATCCTGTGAGGAATTGTAGCAAATTATATGAAAAAAACAATATTTTAGTAGAAAAAAAGCCTTTCATTAGAGGAATCCAATTGTGGTTGAATGAGAATTTTGGGTATAACACTGGAGTCTCAATCATATTTTCTAATGTGCAGTTTTTCAAGGAAGAGAAGTGCTGTCAAATTTGTAAATGGTAACCTAAAAAAATTCTCATACTTTGTTACCTGCCCTTCAGGTGAATGACTTTATAATTTCAGCAGTGAAATAATTTATCTTTTTTGTGTTTTTTTTTTTTTGTCCCCCCCTCAGCACTTAATTGTGTGTTTGCCTTTCATGCTATTGAAAGCCTATTGCTTTGCAGTCTAAAATAATTATTGGTGATCTTCATTTCAGTTATGGACAATTGATGAAAAGAAATGGAAACCAGGAAGAGTGGAGCATACTGTAGGCTGGCCTTTAGACAGACATACCTATGGAGGATCCTTTCTTTATCACTTAAATGAGGGTGAACCTTTAGTTGCCCTTGGATTTGTGGTATGTGAAGTTATATTTTCTCTCATATGTGGTTGTTGTTGTATAAAAATGAAGACTGAACATTTTCTTTGTTTTAATGTGAAGATGAAAACACAAGAGCAGCATCAGACCAAATTCAGTACTTCTGCTATTTTGAGTGCACTTAGTCCTGTGTAAGGCAAGGTGAATTCATCACATTAATCTGTCTTTAGGTCTAGTGTCTTCTGTGAAGGATAAAATGAAGAACTTAAATGCCTTTTTTTTTTTTTTTTTTTTTTGGTAGAAATTACAAGTTTTCCTAAAGCCAAAAAAAGGTGATTAACCAAAACTGTGCTTGCAAAACTTTGTGAAATATTTGGAAGTGAAGAAATGTCAAAAGCAGGTCACTTCTTGCCTTTGGAGTTGATGTCTCTGTCAGTCTGAGCTGATTCTTGTACTAGTTATTATAGTGCACTTTCATGAAGCTCAGTGATGAAAGTGGATGCAAGCAGTCCTCTAAGAGCAGGGAACAGAGAGAAATCAGGTGCTGTTTGGTGCTGACTCATAGTGTATTTCACTGATTTTTCTCAAATAAAACTTGGAGGATCCAGAAATTATTCCACTGGGCAAAAGAGAAAATTCAACAACTTATATTTTTCCGTGAATAAGATGGGAAATGTAGGATGTACCTTTGAACAAGTTCTCAAATGAGTAAAATGCAGATTGTGGGCATTCAGCAAACGCATGTCTCTTCCTATTTTCTTCTTTCATCATTCCTTCCCCAGTGTTCACCTAATGGGAAATAATTGACTGGGCTAAATGATGTGAACTGCTTTCAATATATGAGTGTGAGGAGATAACTATCTAGAAATAATTGTTTGCCCTAGACAAGCTGAAAGAAGGGGTAGTTCTTGAAACAAATTTGATATGAGTTTTCCTCCTTATCTAAACGATTAATTTCACTGATTTATTTCAAAGGCAGGTGGAAGGTGGTTACAATGCAATTAAGTACTTCAGGTTTTAGGTAGATCACAGTCTTATGGCAGCGGATTCTCCGACTTGCTTGGCGCTGCCCTGTTTTTGGCAGTGCTTTAAGTACAAAGATCCTAAGGTTGGCTCAGTGTGACATGACAGAAGTAGTTGATTGCTAATACGCGGTTGTTTTCTGCTCCTAACTTTTTTTGCAATTTCATCATTCATTTTCATTAATGTTACGCTTCTTTTTAAGGTTGGCTTAGATTATCAAAATCCCTATTTGAATCCGTTTAGGGAGTTTCAGAGGTGGAAGCACCATCCTACTGTAGAACCTACTTTGGAGGGCGGAAAAAGGATTGCGTATGGTGCCAGAGCGCTGAATGAAGGTGGTCTCCAGGTAATTGTTTAATGAAGCTATTTACCTTCAGATCTTGATTACCACCTTTGTAGCACTGCAGATTCAGATTTGTGCTGTGGGGAAATGACAGAAATGTGTTATCTGGCTGGAGGCAGCTGCTGTGATTTGCTAGACTTGGATTCTGTAATGCTAGCAGCCTTCTGACACGGTCGCTTCACTACATTGTTAATGGGGTTTGTATTGCAAGCAGATGTGTTTAACAATGAAAGAGCTACAGATGATTCTTCATTTTGCTTGGAAACATGAGGGAGAAGGAGGCAGCACTTATCTGTTCTGTTTTTCTGGGTGAGTGGAGGGTGGTGGGATTTTCATAATTGAGTGTTCTGTTGTGTGCTGGGTGATGGTAGCCAGGCTGTTTGCTACCTCCAGCCAATTCATGGGGCTGTTACCCTCTGTTCTCTGACAGCTTTGACTTTTCTTTTTAATTTGAATCCCTCCTTTAATATAAACGTGGCGTAAGGCAGCTTTTGCAATACAAGCAGAATTTCAGCAGCAAGGTAGTTGTTGGTGTAATCTTTTGGAGCCTTGATGCAAGTGTCATTGCCTGGGACTGAGTCATGTGGGTTCATGAAGTAACTCACTGCTCGTGCTTGTGATACCACGTTCAGTCAGTCTGCTCTGCAGTCTGAACTGGAAGTATGTTGTCATGGTTTTTGCAAAGGGTTTACGATAACTGCAGTGTCTCAGCTTATCTCAGAATCAAGGCTGCTCTTGCCAGTGTGCTTGTTTCTCCATCACAGAGAGTCATTATTGAATTTCTGGCTTGGATGAAGTAGTCAGTATGGGAGCACTTGTGTGCTTACAGTGCTTCAAACACTGCTAAAAGAATGTGGTAATTTTATTGTCACTTACAGCCATTGGTGAGCTGAGTTACAGGAGGTATGGCTTTTTTTTACTTCTCTACCACCATATCATTGGACTTCTTTTCTGGACTTAAACCAACACGTCCTTTACTTTGCACTACTCCTAATACAAAAACAAGTTTAACTCCACTTTCCGTTTGGATGACAGCATTGCATCAGATAGATCTCTAACATTTCTACTGATGTAAGGTTATTTCTTGGTCTGTTCTCTACAACCTTATCTCATGTTCTTTAGTCTTTAAAATTACCTGGTATTGAGAAGTAGAGCAAAATTAACATCTGTGATTCAACAAATTGCCCAAGACACAGGGGAATGCCATGCGTAGTACAGCTTTTTAGTGACCAGTGTCTGGATATTCAAAAGTGGGTTGCCCTGGGTAAGTAGTGAGCAGATACTGACAAAACAAGCTGAAGAAAAGAAAGAGTTATTTCAGATTATCTTGAATTTCAAGGGATACTTTCTTTGTAGTTAGTACAAGAGGATAAATGTATATTAATGAAATACACGTGATGCTTGCAAGTCATCTTTTTGTCTTAGGTTTGAGTTAATTGTGCTCCTTGCTGAACAGGAGTAAGGAAATGACTTAGCACAAAAAACATAGACTTGTTGGCTGCTGAGCAACTTCTCTCAAATAACACACATTTTAGGAGAGGGGCACTATGCAGTTTAACAGAGAAGATTTGTGAAACAGAACAAAGATAGCAGTGTGTAACGTGCTGCCAGGTGAGACTGTGTGAAAAATGGAAGCACAAATGTAATTTAAAAAACAATTCACTTCAAGGTGGAATGTGATGTTTGTGGGTGACAGTAACCAGCCTTATCAGAAACAAAGCAACTAGAAGGAGGGTATGAGGAAAGAACAAGTGCTGTTATTTTGTACTCAGATCTACTATGGTGGCTGCATTCTTATTGGCTTACCATGCAAAAATTGAGCAGCTCCAGTGCATTTTTAGGTAGTACAGATCCAAGTGTAAAGGCCGGTCAAGTCTCATGCCAGTTTGTCAGGATGTTGTATTCACTTCAAAATCAAACAGAAAACATGCTTACTTTCTTTTTCCTCTCCAGTCAATACCCAAGCTCACCTTCCCAGGTGGATTGTTAATTGGTTGCAGTCCTGGACTCATGAATGTGCCTAAGATTAAAGGGACACATACTGCGATGAAAAGTGGCATGTTGGCTTCAGAAGCCATCTTTAGCCAATTAACCAACGAAAATCTCCAGTCAAAGACCATAGGTAAGATCACTGCTGTCACGTGGAATTACTTGGTGTTCAGTTGAACCACCAATAGCTTAGCTGTAATTTCATGTCTGAAGGAAATACGAGTAAATCCTGAAGTGGCTATATTTACTATTTGTGTGGTGAATTGATTTAAGAAATAAGCTTTTAATTATTAGTAAATACTGATCCTGCTGCTAGAGCTAAATAAGCCTCAAATGAGCATCTGAAAAGTAAGCTTATAATACTGCCTATACAAGAGAACAAGAATGGTCTTTCTTTTCCTACAAATGTTAGAATGTGCTTCTTTATTCAAAAAGTCTTACTGAAAGACTACAATCAGAAAGCAATAAAATTACATGGACCTGATGAAATGTAAGCAAAAGAGGGTGCAATTTCTCAAGTTCACTACTCCATTAGTAGGATAGTTGTGGGTTTTTTTTTTTCCTTCTGTGGTAGGATGCTTCTATCTCTGCAGTAGTCTGTGTGAGATTGTGTATTCTCTGTTACGTAAGTTAAACACGTTCAAGTGATCATCTGATCCTGACCACATGTAGTGTTATACTTCAGCCTTGCTTGTTCCCTTTCATCTGTTAACAAAGGCTGTACAGGAGGTAACCTCGTTAAGATTTCAGTTACTCTGGAAGTGGACACCATACCCGTGTGCCACGTGGTAATTATTTCAGAAATCCCTTTGTAGCAGTGGGTCATTCTTAGTGAGCTCTTGTTTAGGTGTAACATGCAGCAAGAGATAGCAAAGAGGTATGCTGAACAAATAAATTAAACTCCTAGTTTAGCACAACATGATAAAGTGCTTAGAACCCATCTGAGATAATAATCTCTCATACTGGGTTACTGTGGCTGCTACCAGTTCTGTCAGCTCAGGGTATTACTGCCCAGTTACTGCTTTGGGCGTAGATAAGGAGGCAGAAAATAGAGACTGAAGCATGTTTTCACATACAGACAAACCCTTAGAACTTAATTATTCAGAACGTTTAATCCTGTGCAGTAGGAACTGAATGGTGATGGGGAGGCTCTCAGGAAACTTTATTGATATGAAACCTGTTTTTTTTTTTTCCTAATCACTTGGCTGTAAGTGTACTGTAGTAGATGTGGCATGTGCAGTGTCTACAGTATTTTCAACAAAAATCAGGAATTTGTAGTCAAATGAGCCTTGTTAACTTGCTGGCTCCTGAGGGAGAGAAATACCACTGTCTAGCAGTGGTGTCCTCCATTTAGGCCACAGCCAAAGCTACTGACAACAGCACGTTTGTGGCTGCTTACCTTGTAAAGAAAAATCTTGTAACTTGACAACTTAAAATGAAAAACCTGAGTCTTGAATTGCAAGTAAACAGTCCTGGTCAAATCTCAGAATCCAAGAGCGCAGTTGCTTTCCAATAGAGGTGCCAGTATAGCTGTCTGCTCCACGGTAGACACTTGCTTACAACTGCCAACAAAGCAGCTCTTTTCAGGAGGCTGAAATACACTGTTTAGGACACTCCTACCTTCATAATTAGCAATTCTGGTTTTGCTCCCTTCCTCGTTAACGACTGTCTCTATTCAACAATGGTTTTGTATTTTAAGGATAGCCTTTACTCCAGGTTCCTAACAAGTAATGTCCTGCCGTAGGACTTGATGTGCAAGAATATGAGGAGAACCTGAAAAAGTCGTGGGTCTGGAAAGAGCTGTACTCAGTTAGAAACATCCGGCCGTCCTGCCATAGCGTGCTTGGTGTGTATGGAGGGATGATTTACACAGGCATATTTTATTGGCTTCTCAGAGGAAAGGAACCATGGACATTAAAACATCCAGGTAATTTCATTATTTCCTGAAAGAAGATGCATGTGTCACTCCTGATCTTAGTTGAAGCTAGAGCGTTCGTGGGCAAGTGGCAAGAACTCTAGCAATCAGTGGCTAATCGGTGAAGCAGACTTGTTACATTACCTAGTGCATCACGTACACAAAGGCATTAAAGCAGTATTCCACATGGGCATAGATGAGTCTTTTGAAAAGGACTTCCTCTTCAGAAATAGTTTGTTCTGATAAGGAGGGAAGTCAAAAAAGCTTGATTAAATTGTAGAGTGACTGCAAATTTTTATAATTCTACTCTGACTCTTATTTGTTAATAATGTTTTAGGATCAGATTTTGCTCAGCTCAAGCCAGCCAAAGACTGCACACCTATTGAATACCCCAAGCCTGATGGAAAAATCAGTTTTGATCTCCTGTCATCTGTGGCTTTAAGTGGTACAAATCATGAACATGACCAGCCTGCTCATTTGACTCTGAAAGATGACAGCATCCCTGTGAGCAAGAATCTGGCTGTATTTGATGGACCAGAACAAAGATTTTGCCCAGCAGGTAGGTAATAAAAACAAAGCATTTGACCATACGTGCAGGGAGAAACTGGTCAGTGAAGTGACAAACTCTTGTGTTTTCCCCAGGCGTTTATGAATACATCCCTCTGGAAACAGGAGAAGGATCAAGACTGCAGATAAATGCTCAGAACTGTGTCCACTGCAAAACATGTGATATCAAAGACCCAAGTCAGAACATTAACTGGGTAGTGCCCGAAGGTGGTGGAGGACCAGCTTATAATGGGATGTAAACAGGCAGAAGACTTCTGTGACTTCTGATCAACCAGCAGCTAGGTTGGAGTATTTTATGCTGAAGTGTAAAGTACAGCACTGATTTGAATGTTTCCGTTTGAGACTAACGTGCCATTCTCAATTTTAGGTATGACCATTGTATAAAACAGAAAGTCAGTGTGCTCTAGTTATTTAAACAGAACAACTTATTTAAATAGAACAACTTTTCAGGAGTCTTATGTCAGGCAGAAGAAAGTTATTCTCCAGACTAACATATGAATTTTGCATCTTGGATATGCTGCTGAAATTCGGTGTTGGTAGGAGCCATAGCCAAAATCATTGGTGTGGGCTGGTGGAAGAGTTTAGTGACTATCCTTATTTAAAAAAAAAAAAAAAAAAAAAAAAGCCTTTCTCTGTCTACCTGAAGTGCTTTACTTGTAGTCCTACCTCACAGTAGGGAAAATGCATTAATCTAGAAAACTGTCACTGTTTGTGTTACACGTTTAACATAGAAGTCAGATTTGTTTCTGTTCTTCTTCCTGATGATGATGGGGAGCCCATCTGCACTACAATCTGTAAGGAGGTGTAACAAATGCTTCCTAGCTGCACCCCTGTGATATGTGTGCCAGCACTTGTTTCTTGCAAGGAATCAGGCCTGCACTAAAAAACAAAACAACAACAACAAAAAACCAGAATCTGCCTAAATTGCATCAGTGGTAAAGGAGACTTCTTAGGAAGCACCATTAAGCCATAGAAACACCACTGCTGCTTTAATGCATTAACAATGTATCTGAATCACCAAACACAAGTTATTTACAGCTTAAAAGAACAACACTTGACCTTTGACCAATGTCTTTATTATTCGACTTGTAAGTTGTAAACACAGAACTGCAGTACAGGGCAAACGAAAGAAGGAACACTTACAGCTCTGTTTAGCCTTTTGCATGAGTTAGTGCATAGAATTCAACATTTAGGAACAAAAAAATCAAGCAAACATTTTAGCATAAGCTGCCTTCTCTTTCTCCTTTTGAGCTTTTATCTTCTGTTTGATTTTGAGTGTTTCTGTCTGGATAGCTGTTTGAAAAGAAAATCCACGGCACGGTTATAGCAATGTCTTTACATTAGGTTTCTCAGTATGTCAAGACCAGATCTCAGTGCTGCAAATACTATTTTATACACTAGCACTACATTTCATTTTCTATTAGGTCAGATACTAACAGCAAACACACTCTGTCCCATACTTTGTTTCACCTGCTAAGGTAACAGGTAGAGGTAAGAAGCACACTGTTGATATGCATGCTGGATTTATGATGTAAAAATCTTTTCCTATTAGATGTTACTGCAACCTGGGGATTACTAAGACCACTTTGAGCTGTGCTGTTGACCTCTGTACCTACATAAGCAGGTTGTGCAGGGCGCCAGAAGCATCAGTGCTGTACAAGAGCATGTTTCCATGTCAGCACACTTGTGCTTAACACAGTGGCATTTTAAGTTTCAGCAGCCCGTAGACACCTCCATTTCAGACAGGACAGTGGTATGATTTTCTATGTAAGTACTACCCTTTGTTACATTCTTCAAATAAGGAATCTCTAAGAAACAGCTTTATTTTTACCTTTGTCCTCAGGGGCGATTTCGTGAGCCTTTTTAAGATCAGCCTTAATAGAAAGAGAAATGTAAATGAATGTTCTGATTCAATGTTTATATTAAAATAATAATAATTATTAAATATTGTGATCATTACCAGTGCCTGATCGAGATCTTTTATTCCCTGCCATCCTTGAGCCCGTCTGTAGAGAGCTTTAGTATTCGCTGGATCTATTTGAAGAGCCTGTGGATTTAATAAAGTTGTCACGTTAACATGCAGCACTTCACAGCTCTCACCCCTACAAATGGCACCGTTCCCACCAGTAGACAATCTCCCTGTTTGATTTGAGGGTAAGCTTTCAGAGATTACCAGGAGAAAAAAAAAAAAGCACTAGAATGTAACAGGCTCAGTAGCTATCTAATCAGTTCTACTGCTGCTGCACCACGAGCAGGCTTTTGTCAAGGACCAGCATACATTAAGATAAAATGGAACTGCATCTGTACAGCTGTCAAGGTGCTGCTGCAGTTCAAACTATCCTAAGCCTGAGGCTCGGTGTACAACTCTCTATATTACAGCTCCTTCCTCCACACACAAAAGCAAAACTGAAAAATGCTACCGTAAGTAAAACAGAATTTTGTTCCTATCCTTTGGTGAAAAAGCTTTTCACTAGATGACAAAAAGATGCATACAATCATACGATGCAGGAACCTTGTCTAGTCTCTGGACCTTTGCTGAGCTGGATGGTTTCATTGATAAGCACATTCCAGCTGACATACATGACAGCATCAAAACAGGAAATAAAATGATGAGGAGAAGACATTGTTCCACTTGTTTATCACTATTTGTTAAAGCGCTTCACTTAATTAGGCTGCTTCCATTCTTTAAGAGCTTTATTTTCTTGCCTGTGAAAATCAGTGCTGTTTTCTTACTACAAAGGTAGTTCTGTTGTACCTTTTTGAAAATATAGCTTTTTCTGATTTAGAGGAAATCTTTGTGTAAATGTGGGGCTTTATTAGTTTTATTAACTCATTAGGAAATCTAGACAATAGGAGCAGTATCCAGGTGTATTTCCAATCCCTTCAGCATCAGCTTTTCCCATAAAGTATTGTTCTGGAAGTCCATCGTGATCTGTCTGCTGCAAAGCCTAGAAGTCTTTGGAGTCCTGAGCTCAAGAAACAAGGTGCCTGCCCCACGTACACGGATGTAGCATTCCTTATTTGTGACTTACAGCTCATGTAAGGCAAGGTTTGTATGAACAGGTTTGGCTCTTTGTAATCTGTTATTTGGGCCAAACAGGTTGGTTATTCAAAAAACTTTTGGCCGCAAGAAATCCTAACTAGAACTGCATAATTTCTCATTAACAATTTCTGCTAGTTGTAGAAAACTGCTGTTCTGATTAAAATACTGATTTACATTTGTTATGACACCAAAACGGGCTATGTTACAGATAGCTACTCTGGTTATGGAGTTGCCTTCAGCAATTTTGCAATCGTAAGTACATATATATGTATTTTTCAGACTTGCAAGTATTGCAAGTATCATGGTTAATAATTTGTATAACTACCACGTGCTATTTTGATTTTTATCACTTTCTGGAGGACAGATGCCATGTTACACTTGATTTCTTCCATTTGTCCATCCTGAATAGCCAGTTGTGAAAATACTGCAGAAGGCCATCAGCAGGCAGAAGAGAGCCAGCTCTTTAAAAACACTTCACATGCAGATGAGCTGAGACTCCTGCTTTCAGCAGGTAGCCCTACTGGATGCTCCTTATGATCCTCTACTAACAGATAAGTGTTCTAATACTCGTTTGTTTTTGGCTGTTTGCTTTCCAAGATTTCAGAGTTAGATGAATTATTTCAAGTTTATTGATATGTACTCAGTTCTGTTTTCCTGTTGTTTTTTTTTTTCTTGCCTCTAATTCTATTTTTTCAATATTTCCATTTGTTTCTTTCCTTCTTGCTTCCCATTCAGCAATTTCATCACTAAACCCAGGAAAAGGGGTTTAGTTAGTTAGAAAGCTAACTTCAAGGAATAAAATACAAGCCTACTGAATCTTCAAACAACCGTTTGCTCATAATCTTCTAAAAAACAGGATTTTTTTTTTCATCGTGGACAATGAAACTCTCTATACTACAAACATTAGCTCTGTTCTTAGGGAACAAAACCGACAACCCCCATGTGTACGTTTTTTCCTTGCAGTAAGTAACAGCCTTCTTCTGTTTGTTGCTAGTAAGTCATTTACATTGCAAAATCTCTCTGAAAGGACCAATACTAGAGACTCAGTAGTAACTTCACCATCTGCCTTTTGCTTTGTTTTCAGAGCAGGGTGTTGTCCTGAGACTCTTTAAAAAAGCACTGCGGTTTCAGTCTCCACTCTCTCCATAGGCTAATCGTTAATCAAATTACTTAATGCTAATTTTACCTCTGAACAGCTTTCAATGGCTCCCTGCCAATCGGACAGTTTCAGTTTACAAGCGCCGATGTTTAAGACGCAGCTTAACCCAATGGTCTTCAGCTTTGGCTTGTCTCCCTCCTCTGCCACCGCTTCAGAAGCTTCTACATACCTGGAGAAAAAGAGGTTCACAAAGAACACGCGTTACTGTTGCGGCTTCAGTTTTGTTCTGCCCTTAGCTAACTTTCCAGCTGCCTTCTCTAAAGTGGCATTTTTAATACAGTTGCCACTCCATTATTACAAATATTTTTGCACCACAATATGTGAGACTTATCCTGACAAAAGGTGAAATTACAGCTGAGTGCAAGAACACAGGAGGAACATGCTCCTGTCCCCACGCTGTACTAACAGTATCTTTTTCTTTTCTTAGAAAAGACTGTTTAGATGGCACTAAACAACTAGAATTTATCTCTGTGACTGTTTATTCCCAACGACCATATTGCTTACCTGTGTCTATCACAGGTGAACTGGCAGGTAAGTTATATTTTCTTTTTCTCAATTTACAATGTGCTAATGCTGGCAGGTTTTGTTTCAAATGTCAAAGGTCTGTTGTGGATATAAAAGTTCTGACTCTTTCAATGACCTACTGACAGAACTTCTTTCTGTTTCAAAATACATAAAGCTAGTTGACCAAAATCATGTTTGCAGACACTCATATTTTAATTGTGCCATGTGTTCAATCTTTGCAGATTAGTGCCAATGCGATTTCAGTTTTGTATTCCTATCTTTTGAGTACTGGATGGTTTGTAGATCATTTTGGAGTATAGAAGTAAGCCATGTTTAAAATACAAATGAGACATTGATTTGTCTGTTTGCTGTGCATCATGCAAGATATGAAGCCAGGAGAGAGAACAAAGGTGCAAAAGCAGTGGAAAACAATAAGTAAATTAGTATGTTCAAAGCAAATAGGTGTACTCTATGGGATCTAGACATCACACTAAAGCATGAAAGACCACAGCCACTCCAGAAACAAAATTAGATCTCTCAAGTCAAATAAATCTCTAAGTTCAATATGAAGGGAAATGAGGGAATAATACATTTGCATAAAAACCTGTGAATTCTTACATTAAAAACAACTGGTTAAGCATCATTAAGATGGGAAAACAAAGAACTGGAGGTTAGAATGGAATCTAAGAAAGAACACACAACGTAAGGCTGCTTTTAAAGCATCGCTGCCAGATGCTGTTGTTGTTTGCTAGGTGAGTTGTAACTAAGACAAGGGAGCTGCCTCTGGTGAGAGCTGTCAGAACTATTCCATACTACCTGAAGTATGAGACTTTATGATAGAACTGTGGGGCATGTCCACTCAAGTATGAAAACAGGTTCCAGCTCTTCTTTATGGGTAGAACAGATACGTCTAGTTAGAGAAGCTGCTTTCTATTCACTAGGATAAATAATTAGTATCAAAAAGAGGTCTACACAGACTGAAAGAGCCTTTGTTAGATGTGTTCATGTTGGCATGACAACTAAATGTGAGCAATGGCATAATTATACCTGTTACTTTTCTTAGAATAGTTGGTTAAAACGCAAAGTTCCTGAAGGCTCATTCCAGCCTTTTTTCTTTATGATTTCTGGAAAGTTTCTGTGTCAATCAGTTATTTCACATTTGCTACTGAAGTGTGAAAAGATTCTTGACACCAGAAGTTGCATCTTGAGTTATTATCTATAATTAAAAGATGAATTTTTATGCTTCAGGAGGACATCACTTGTTTTAAATTACTGGATTTCATACACAGCATTAAGTATTCCTGAACACAATTTCTTTCATTGCTGTTACTGCTGATAAAACAATGATTATAACGCAAGTTGAAGGCCAGTATAAAGTTACTGGGAGAACCATTTAAATGAAACTAATATCATGATAAAGGAGCAGAATGGGAACAAAACCATGAAGGTTATGATTTTGAAGGCAAGTCTCATTTATACCTGGGGTCAGGATGACTGCATGGTGCCTCAAAATAAAAAACAGTAGCAAATAGAGCATCATGTTAGGGAGCATCCTGTCTTGAACGTGGCAATCTCCTAAACCTACTGATTATTAGAAATCTGAGGAGTATCTCCCTTTTTTTTTTTATAGAATCATAGAATTGCTCAGGTTGGAAAAGACCTTAAAGATCATCAAATCCAACCAGAACCCAACCATGCTACCCTAACTCTAACAGCCCTCTGCTAAATCACGTCCCTGAGCACCACATCCAAACGGTTCTTAAACACATCCAGGGATGGTGACTCAACCACCTCATGTGGAGCCCATTCCAGTGTTTAACAGCCCTTTCTGTAAAGGTTTTCCTGATATCCAACCTAAACTTACTCTGGCCATTTCCATTTGTCCTGTCACCTGTGAGAAGAAACCAACCCTGCTCTCACTGGAGGCACCTTTCAGGTATTGGAAGAGAGCAGTAAGGTCTCCCCTCATCCTCCTCTTCCCCAGACTGAACAGCCCCAGTTCCTTCACTCTCTCCTCACAGGCCATATTCTCCAAGCCCTTCCCCAGCCCTGTTGCCCTTCTCTGGACCTGCTGCAGCACCTCCGTGTCCTTTCTGTACTCAGGTGCCCAAAACTGAACACAGCACTCGAGGTGAGGCCTCACCAGTGCTGAGTACAGGGCAGGATGACTTCCCTGGTCCTGCTCACCACTCCATTCCTGATCCAAGCCAGGATGCCATTGGCCTTCTTGGCCACCTGG